AGCACCTTTTCATATGCCTGTTTGCCATTTGTATGTCTTCTCTTGAGAAGTGTTTGTTTATATTTTTTGCCCATTTTAAAATTGGTTTATGAGATTTTTTTCCTATTGAATTGTTTTAGCTCCTTATATATTCTGGCAATTACTTTCTTTTCAGATGGATAGTTTGCAAATATTTTCTCCCATTCTGTTGTTTGTCTCTTTACTTTGTTGATTGTTTCCTTTGCTGTGCAGAAGTTTGTTTTTTTTTTTTTTTAACTTGATGTGATCCCATTTGTCCAGTTTTGCATCGTTGCCTGTGCTTATGGGGTATATTACTCAAGAAATTTTTTGCCCAGACCAATGTCCTGGAGATTTTCCCAAAGTTTTCTTGTAGCAGTTTCATAGTTTGAGGTCTTAGATTTAAGTCATTAATCCATTTTGATTTGAGGTTTGTATATGGTGAGAGAAAGTCAAATTTCATTCTTCTGCATATGGATACCCAGTTTTCCCAGCACCATTTATTGAAGAGACTGTCTTTTCCCCGGTGCATGTTCCTGGCACCTTTGCTGAAAATGAGATCACTGCAGGTGTATGGATTTTTTTCTGGGTTCTTTATTATGTTCCATTGATCTGTGTGTCTGTTTTTATGCCGGTATCATGCTGTTTGAGTTACTATAGTTCTATAGTATAACTTTAAGTCAGGTAATGTGATTCCTACAGTTGTGTTCTTTTCGCTCAGGATAACCTTGGATATTCTAGGTTTTTTTGTGGTTCCGTATATATTTTAGGATTTTTTTTTTTCCCTATTTCTGTGAAGAATGTCATTGGTATTTTGATAGGGATTGTATTGAATCTATAGATTGCTTTGGATAGTATGTACATTTTAATAACATTGAGTCTTCCAATTCATGAACATGGAGTATCTTTCTGTTTTTTGGTGTCTTCAATTTCTTTCATCAGTGTTTTCATTGTAGAGATCTTTCACTTCTTTGGTTAATTCCTAGGTATTTAATTTTACTTCTGTCTACTGTAAATGGAATTACCTTTTTTTTGTTTCAGATTGTTCACTGTTAGCATATAGAAATGCAACTGGTTTTTGTGTGTTGATTTTGTATCCTGCAACTTTACTGAATTTGTTTATCAGTTCTAATAGTTTTTGGTGGAGTCTTTAGGTTTTTCTAAATATAAGATCATATTATCTGCAAACAAGGATAATTTGACTTCTTCCTCTCCAATTATTTCTTTCTCATGTCTGACTGCTGTAAGTAGGACTTCCAGTACGTACTCTTTTGAATAACAGTGGTGAAAGCAGGTATCCATTTCATGTTCCAGATCTTAAAGGAAAGGCTTTCAGTTTTTCCACATTCGGTATGATACTAGCTGTTTGTCTGTCGTATATGGCTTTTGTTATGTTGAGGTATGTTCCTTCTATGCCCAATAGTTGAGGGTTTTTATCATGAAGGGATGTTGAATTTTGTTAAATGCTTTTTCAGCATGCATTGGAATGATTGCGTGATTTTTATTCGTTTTGTTATATAATATCACATTGATTGATTTGCATATTGTTAAACCATCCATGCATCCCTGGGGTAAGTCACACTTGGTCATGATGAATGATCTTTTTAATGTAATGTTGAAAGTGTTGAACATGTTCAGTTTGCTAGTATTTTGCTGAAGATTTTTGCATCAATGTTCATCAAAGATAATGGCTTGTATTTTTGTTTTTATGATGTGTCTTTGTCTGATTTTGTTATCAGGATAATACTGGCCTCATAGAATGATTTTGGAAGTATTCCCCCCCCTCTGTTTTTGGAATAGTTTGAGTAGGATTGGTACTAGTTCTTTTTTAGTATTTCTTTTTTTTTTTTTGAGACGGAGTCTCGCTCTGTCGCCCAGGCGGGAGTGCAGTGGCCAGATCTCAGCTCACTGCAAGCTCCGCCTCCCGGGTTTACGCCATTCTCCCGCCTCAGCCTCCCGAGTAGCTGGGACTACAGGCGCCCGCCACCTCGCCCGGCTAGTTTTTTGTATTTTTTAGTGGAGACGGGGTTTCACCGTGCTAGCCAGGATGGTCTCGATCTCCTGACCTCGTGATCCGCCCGTCTCGGCCTCCCAAAGTGCTGGGATTACAGGCTTGAGCCACCGCGCCCGGCCCGGTACTAGTTCTTTTTTAAACGTTTGTTAAATTTAGCAGCGAAGCCTTCAGGACCTGAACTTTTCTTTACTGGAAGACTTTTTATTATGGCTTTGATCTTGTTACTTGTTATTGGTGTGTGCAGGGTTTGGACTTCTTTATGGTTCAATTTTGATAGGTTGTATGTGTCTTGAAATTTATCCATTCTCTCTAGATTTTCCAATTTATTGGCATATAGTTTCTCATAGTAGCCACCAACGATCCTTTGAATTTCTATGGTATCAGTTGTAGTGTCTCCTTTTTCATCTCTAATTTTATTTATTTGGTTCTTCTCTCTTTTCTTGGAGAGCTTCTTAATCTGAGGTTGAAGATGGAGTCTGTGAACATGAAGAAAATATATGTTGAATGTCATACACGTGCATTTTTTGGGGGATAGGTCCATAGGTTTTCTCAGATTCTTAGGGGAGCCGATGAGTCTCTCAGAAAGGGATGAGTCAGAAGTCTCAATTTCTTCCTTCTTCTTTCCCTGGCCTGCCCTTTTTTTTCCCCCTCTTTCTGTCTTTTTCTCTCAAAAATCCTTGATTAAAACACTGTTACCTCATGGAATCCAATTGTGTGTAATTTCTCCTGCAAGTTTGGATTGTTTTGTCATCTATTGAGTGTCTTGGGAAGCAGTTAGACATAGTAAGCCATAGTAGTAGTATAGTTACCTGATTAAGAATTCTGGCTTCGTCACTTAATGTGAGGCTTTGGGGTATAATTTAATTTAGCTAAACCTGTTTCCTCCTCTGTAAAATGAAGATAATATTAGTACTTGTAATATAAAATTGCTTCAGTGATTAAATTAAGTATATGTAAATCACTTGGTGCAATGCTTGGCACATAGTATATCATGAATGTTAGATGCTGGCGCAATTGTTATTATCACTGCTGTTATTTTTGTCAGTAGTAAGTAGAGCCCTATATTTTAAAACTCTCTACTAGTTAACCAGCCTCTATGAATTTTTTTTTTTTTTTTTTTTTTTTTAAAGAGATTTAAGGTCTCACTGTGTTGCCTGGTCTGTTCTCAAACTCCTGGGCTCAAGTGATACTCCTGCCTCAGCCTCCTGAGTGGTTAGGACTACATGTGTATAATACTGTGCCTGGGTAGCCTCTGTTATTTGATGTGTCTTGTCTACCTTTCTTCACAAAGTTGGCAATTATTGCCATTAGTTTATGCACATTTTTTCTACAGGCATATTTTTTCTCCTTTTTGTCTTTCTTATGATAATCATATCTTACATTATTTGGGCACTTACTATTTGCTAGCTGCATGTCAAACACTGTGAATGTTGGAGGAGAAATTGAAAGATTGAGTTCTAGTTTCAGTTTTGTCATTCTTTTGACTTTTGTCAAGAAATTCAGTCTGAGCCTCAGTTTTGTCATCTACAAAATAGGAATAATAATATTTGTCCTGTCTTTACAGCTTGTTGTGATGATTAAATGATAACTATGTTTTCAAAAATCCTTTATAAAATATATTTTCTGCCCTTCTGGAATCTTTGTAAATAAAAGCCTTGGATAGAGCAGTCACACGTAATGATAGAAACAGTTTAACCCCAAAGCATTATTGCCCATTGTACATTATAAGCAAGGATGGTAAAATGTTACTTTATGATTTTAATTACTTATGATTATGAATGCTATACATATATACCACATTTTATGGATGTGTGATAAATTCATAAACAGCTGGGGATGAGTGGCAATAGTTTTGATAATTTCATAAGATTAGAGTCTGGATTCACAGGAAGCTGCTAGTCTTTTGCTGATCAATGTAGAAAAAAGCTTTGGGAAGGAAGTATAATTTAGGAAACTTCCTAAGTTAATTTTAATTTTGAATGGTATATAGAAAGAAATGAGGTGGTCTGGAATATCTGGTAAAGAGCTGTCAGCACTGAGCCTCGGCCAACAGTCTAATGGTAAACCAGCAGTGTAATTGTAGAGCTGTAACTAGAAGATGGTCTCCTGTGGCAATGTAACCTTGAACAATTCAGCCTCTGAACCTCAATTTATTAATCTGTAAAGTGGAGGTAATAATACATACTTTAAGAAGTGTATGAAGCAGGTCAAGAGATATGTTAAGTTGATTTATAATATACAGTTATTCCTCAGTATCCATGGGGGATTGGTTTCATGATCTCTATATTAGTCCATTTTTATACTGCTGTAAAGAACTGCCTGAGACTGGGTAATTTATAAAGCAAAGAGGTTTAATTGACTCACAGTTCAGCATGGTTGTGGAGGCCTCAGGAAACTCATACAATCATGGCAGAAGGCAAAGAGGAACCAAGGCACCTTCTTCACAAGGTGGCGGGAAGAACTGCCCAGCGAAGCGAGGAAGATCACCTTATGAAACCATCAGATCTTGTGAGAACTCACTATCGTGAGAACAGTGTGGGGGAAACCGCCCCCATGATTCAGTTACCTCCACCTGGTCTCTCCCTTTACACGTGGGGATTATGGAGATATAATTCAAGATGAGATTTGGGTGGGGACAGAAAGCCTAACCATATCAATCTCCCATGGATATAAAAATCTTTGGATGTTCAAGTCACTTATATAAAATGGTGTAGTATTTGCATATAACCTATGCATATCCTCCCATAGACTTTAAACAATCTTTAGATTGCTTATAATACCTAATGCAATGTAAATGTTATGTGTAAGTAGTTGTTATACTGTATTGTTTAGAGAATAATGATAGGAAAAAAGTCCATACATGTTCAGTACAGATGCTTTTTATTTCTGGAGTAGTTTTGGTTTGTAGTTGATTGAATCTTTATACAAAAATCCAGTCCCTGGAAGCCCTTTTATTTATTTATTTTCATGTTTTATTTTACTTCACCAGAGTACTGCAGTGGACTGTAAAATAACATCATCTACGACTGGAGATAAACACTTTGATAAAAGTCCCACTAAAACAAGGCATCCTCGGAAGATTGATCTGAGAGCTCGATACTGGGCATTTCTTTTTGACAATCTTCGCCGAGCAGTAGATGAAATCTATGTAACTTGCGAATCAGATCAGAGTGTGGTCGAATGTAAGGTAAGGTTTGCTTTGAGGCCTTGTAATCCATTTGAATTCAGATTCTGGAATTTTTGCTACATCTGACTTGATCTTTTTTTGCTCTGTTGCCCAGGCTGGAGTGTAGTGGCATGATCTTGGCTCACTACAACCTCTGCCTCCCAGGTTCAAGTGATTCTCCTGCCTTAGCCTCCTGAGTAGCTGGGATTACAGGCACATGCCACCACACCCGGCTTATTTTTGTATTTTTAGTAGAGACGGGGTTTCACTGTGTTAGTCAAGCTGGTCTCGAACTCCTGACCTTAAGTGATCCACCCACCTCGGCCTCCCAAAGTGCTGGGATTATAGGCGTGAGCCACCATGCCTGGCCCTGACTGGATCATTTATCTCACTTTTTCTAGTTTTAATAAATTCTGTATGCTTTTTATTTAATTACCTCTTATGAAAAGTTGTTCTTTTGATCCATACACTAACATCAGCATTATGCTTCAGGTTTTCTTGATTTTGAAGATTTTATTTTGGCATCACCTAGTTATATATTTTATATTCTGTGAAGGATTTGGTAGACAGCTGTCTTGATGCATAGTTCTGGGCAGGGAATCAAAAGGTTGGATACACATCCAGTATTATTTTAAAAATTCTTATCTGTATTCTCCATTGTTGCTGTAGATGGCACTAGTGAGATTTCACATTCTTTGGTTTCATGTTTAATGTCTAATTGGACATTACTCCCTTTCCATTGAGATACTTGTCACTCTCCTAATTCACTTTGGTTAGGGAAAAGTGAGATTGATGGCTAACCATAAACAATCCTGGGTGGGATTGGGATGTCATTGTAAGGTGTGTTTTCTAATTTTAAATAATCTTGTGTTCGTAATAGGATATTAAACAGACACATGGTGTAGAGTGTCTCTATCTAAAAAGCCTGGCCTTTTAGTAAGTAGAGACTGTATACCATATTACTTTTTACTGAATAAACCTATTTTGAGGAAAACCAGAGGGATACATGTTTATAGAAATATTAAAGAGATAACTTCTGTTTTTATGGTGAATATGGTTGAAAACCCTGGAATTCATTATTTAACCTTTGAAATATATGAGGGGTTAAAGAAGAGTTACGTATTGAGACAGCAGCTATGTTTTCTCTTGAATTGGAAACAGTCAAAATATGTTTTAGACTAGCTAAAAATATTGGTTATCAAAAGCAGGTTTCAAAATGAACATTAGTTGAAACCATCTAAATATATGTTGTGTGGTTGTTATACTTAAATATTGTTACTATCAGCATGTAAAAACTTTTTTTTTTTTTTTTTTGAGGCAGGTCTTTTTCTGTTACCCAGGCTAGAGTGTGGGGGTACAAACATGGCTCACTGAAGCCTTGACCTTCTGGGCTCAAGCAATCTTCCTCCCTCAGCCTCCTGAGTAGCTGGGACCACAGACATACGCCACCATGCCTGGCTAATTTAAAAAAAATTTTTATAGCGATGAGGCCGCACTATGTTGCCCAGGTTAGTCTTGAACTCCTGGGCTTAAGCAATCCTCCTACCTCAGCATTCCAAAGCTGTGGGATTATAGGCATGAGCCACCATGCCCAGCCACTTTTTATGTTTAAAGAAAAATATTTTTAAGTTTAAAAATCATATTCTTGGAGTATAATGAGTCAGTATGTTGTAGTAGAAGACACCACTGGACTTAGTTTTCTGTTATGCTTTGTAAACTGAGCATTTGGGCTTAGAATAGCTCTAGATTACCCCTAGAGATTAATCAAAGCAGCAGTTTCTTTTTTTTTTTTTTATTAAAAATAACAAATGACTGATTGAAATCAAATTTGCTTGAAAATATATATACTTCTTTAGAGTAAAGTGAGATTGACCAATTGCAATTACATCTTTTTGTGATAAGCAGAAACTCTTGCACCTTTCTCTGACACGACTGTGTTTTAGGAAGCTAGAATTGGCCACAAGAAAGTATGGATTTTATTTCTGGTTCTGTCACTTATTCCAAGCTTTATAAAAGCTTAATAGCAATAGAAATTTTTTGTGTAAGTTGTAGATTAAAAGAATGGAGAAAGTTTTGACAAAGCGAGAGGAATAGAGATGTGTTTTCCATTCTTTGTACTGTGCCAAGATGCTCAAAGGCTTATGCTGAGAAATCTAGGAGTTTAAAAGGTATTTTTATATTCAACTCTTCTCCTTATCCAAGACTTACAGGTAGTGATGTATAAAAGATACAATTTAATGTTTGGTCTAAGCACATGCTGGGTATATACTAACTAGTTTTCTTGTTTTGTTTTGCTTTATTCTCATTATTAAGGCACTGCCATCCGTGATCTCATTTGGTTAGTATCTTTATGAGATACATGACTCAATAATTTTTCCTCATTTTGTAAGTGGATTCAGCCATTGTTTTGTTAATGCATTGAAAGATTTATTCCTATTTGTGATTTTTATGTTTTAACCTTAGTTAAAATAATCACAGTTCAGTTCTGTGTCTCATACGTAAAATGCAGTTAATAACACATTAGGCAGGCGGATCACGAGGTCAGGAGATCGAGACCATCCTGGCTAACACGGTGAAACCCCATCTCTACTAAAAAATACAAAAAATTAGCCGGGCGTGGTGGCGGACGCCTGTAGTCCCAGCTACTCGGAGGCTGAGGCAGAAGAATGGCGTGAACCCGGGAGGCGGAGCTTGCAGTGAGCCGAGATGGCGCCATCGCACTCCAGCCTAGGCAACAAAGCGAGACTCCGTCTCAAAAACAAACAAACAAACAAAAAAAACACATTATGTAATTCACATAAGTATAGCGTGATGTGAAAAGTATCTTTCCTGTTTGCCAGGGATTTCTGAGTACATGCTAACTTTGTAATCAAAAGAAGCTACGTTCCTGATTTTTTGAGTTTGAAGGTTGTGCCTGTTTATGACATCGGCTACTTTACTACATAAATTGCTAAGAACTGACATTGCAGCAAAACTCTACTCTAAGCATTACCCCTACATTTCCCTTGCTCTCTTGCAAGGTAGGCTAGAGTGGGTTGGGGGAATTGCTTTTTGGAGTGTGCTTAGTTAATGAAGTGGTGGCCATTCCCTCATTTGTTCTCACAAAATTTTGAGGTAAGGGATGAAAGAGTTGGTTGTGAAATTTGTGGGTGTGGCTGCTGGAAGGGGAGATTGGCATCTTCTTCTCTGGTTGAATGTTTGTTGTGTGGACTGATTTTGGTGTCTCTGGAATGTATTGAGAGAGTTTGGAGAAAACACGCTGGGAATACATTTTATTTTCCTTTTCTTGTTTCCCATTTCAATCTGGAGGGAACTAGATGTGTGTCTCTGGAGGCTTGGGGGCTCCTTTGGATAAAGAGACTGGCACCTGCATCTGGCTTAGAGATTTCATAGCACAGTAGACTTGCTGGAGTAACCTGTGCCAGCTGGGCTTGAAGACTCTAGGATAGTTCTCAGTGATCAAGTAAAGAAGACCTGAGTGTATCTAATGATCTATTTGAGGGAAGGAGCATAGGCATAGATGAAGGTGTTAGAGTCATAGGAGCTTCCTCTGGGGACACTTGGCTAGGTGAGTATATGTAAAACTCTGATGGAGTTGGGCCCCAGTGTCTCTTATTCTCATATTTGCTTCCATGTGTACTCAATCTTTAGCTCCCACTTATAAGAGAGAACTTGGTACTTGGTTTTCTATTACTGCATTAGTTTGCTTAGGATAATGGCCTCCTGCTGCATCCATGTTCCTGCAAAGCACATGATCTTGTTTTTTCCTGTGTCTACATAGTATTCCATGGTGTATATGTACCACATTTTGTTTATCCAGTCTACCATTGATGGACATCTAGGTTGATTCCATGTCTTTGCTATTGTGGATAGTGCTGCAGTGAACGTATGTGTGCATATATCTTTTTGGTAGAGCAGTTTATATTCCTTTGGGTATATACTCAATAATGGGATTGCTGGGTCAAATATTATTTCTGTTTTCAGTTCTTTGAGAAATCTCCAAACTGCTTTCCATGGTGACTGAACAAATTTACATTCCCACAGTAGTGTATAAGCATTCCCTTTTCTCCACAACCTTGTCAGCATCTGTTTTTGACTTAAACAATAGCCATTCTGTCTGGTATGATGTGGGATCTCAGTGTGGTTTTGATTTGCATTTCTCTAATGATTAGTGATGTTGAACATTTTTTCGTATGCTTGTGTATGTATTTTTTTTTTTTTGAGACGGAGTCTTGCTCTGTCACCCACGCTGTAGTGCAGTGGCACAATCTCAGCTCACTGCAAGATCCGCCTCCCAGGTTCACGCCATTCTCCTGCCTCAGCCTCCCGAGTAGCTGGCACTACAGGCACCCGCCACCACGCCCGGCTAATTTTTTGTATTTTTAGTAGAGACAGGGTTTTACCGTGGTCTTGATCTCCTGACCTCGTGATCCGCCCGCGTTGGCCTCCCAAAGTGCTGGGATTACAGGCATGAGCCACTGCGCCCGGCCATGTATGTATTCTTTTGACAAATGTCTGTTCGTGTACTTTGCCCAGTTTTAAATGGGGTTGTATAAGTTTTCTGACTGATGTGAGATAGTGTCTCATTGTGGTTTTGATTTGTATTTGTCTGATGAATAGTGATGTTGAGCATTTGATATGGTTTGGCTCTGTCCCCACCCAGATCTTACCTTGAATTGTAGTTCCCATAATCCCCACATGTCGTGGGAGGTAATTTAATCATGGAGGTTGTTACCCTCATTCTGTTCTCGTGATAGTGAGTGAGTTATCATGAGATCTGATGGTTTTATAAGGGGCTTTTCCCCCTTTTGCTTGGCACTTCTCCCTGCTGCTGCCACATGGAAGAAGGACGTGTTTACTTCCCCTTCCACCATGATCATAAGTTTCCTGAGGCCTCCCCAGTTATGCCGAACTGAGTCAGTTAAACCTCTTTCCTTTATAAATTACCCTGTCTCAAGTATGTCTTTATTAGCAGTATGAGAGCAGACTGATACAGCATTTTTTATATGCTTGTTGACTGT